GGAGAGTACGACTTTGAATGCATCTTACTTCTACAGTCAGGCTTGGAATTTCCAAGGGGGTTAGACACCCCAAATCCACTAAAATTGCTCTTAAATTTTCCTCTGAAAATCCCATCCCTGGCAATATAATGGAAGCAATTTCAGACCACTGCTTTTGGACGAAAGAACACAGATTCAAGGCTGTTTAGCTTTCAGGACACAATGAGTGAAAACAAAACCACTGCATTTTCTGATTTTATGCAAACACTAACACTCACTTTTAAGCTTTAAATACACTGGAAGTGATGTCATTTAAGGTATGTCTTACTATCTGCCACTAAGATTGGGAGTGCTCCCATGAAACAAGTCCACAAGCACATTTGCTCCTACTTCTTGAGTGCCCAAGCCTAGCTATGAGCACATATAGAAGCTCAGAGGGGAAGCATGGTGGAGGAGGCAGCTGGCAGGCACATGAGCTCCTGCGACAGGCAGCTACCAGGCTCCAGGACTGCCGGCACCTCCAAGCTGGCCTTGGTAGCAGCACGCATGAAGGACTTGTCCTTCATGGCCAATCTGGCTGCCCAGGCACCTGCCCACAGCTGCAGCAGCATTGTCTCTGGGCTGCTGCCCTGCCAGCTGCTGCCTGTGTATGCTGGGCCTGGCTGTCATGGAGCTGCAGCTGGCTGGGAAGGGCCCACTCTCCACCTGCCATACCCAGGGCTGAACCAACCTGGCAGCAGACACTGGTGAGGACAGGTGTGGAGGGGTTGGCCTGGCCTGGGCTGGGCTGTGGGGACAGCTCTCTTCCCAGCTGGCTTTGGCTCCTTTACAGTCTGGCCAGACCTGGGTGTGGGGAGCTGGAAGCAATCCGGAGCTCCTGCAGCCCAGCCCAGGCTGGCCTTTCCACGCCCACCCTCAGCAGGACTTGTGGGCCAGCTCAGCTTAACCCTGCAGCTCCAACCCCAGCCTTAGCCCTGGGTGAGGCAGGCAAATGACGGGGCCATGCTGGCCAGCTCTGGATATGCCCCCTACCACATGGAGCAGCCAGCAGGTTATAAAGCTGGGCAGACCCTGGCTGGGGTCCCCATACCTGTACGGGGAGATAAGGGAGTGTAATCCCCCTCCCTGCTCCCCGCCCCGGCTTCGCCTGAGAATGCTGCCTTGGCCAGCTCTGGCCACGCCCCCTGCTGGATGAGCAGCTAGTGGGGCAGAAATTCAGGCAGACCCCAGCTGGGGTCCCCATGTGTGTGGGAGAGAGGGGAGACAGGGGAGTTTAATCACCCTCCCTGTCCCCACTTTGCCTGAGGTGCTGTTCTGGACGGTGTCTGGCCACCCCTCACCCGGGGACAATCCTGGCATGGCTGCTTCCCTCTTTGCCCTCCAGGCACACCCTGGCTGGGGTTCCTGCAGGGTAGGGTAAAGGTTAAAACCCCTCCCCACTCATTCTCAGTGGCCTGCAAGGGCCTGGCCAAGGCCCGCCCCCTGAGTCAGCTTCCTTCCAGTCTTGTGGCTCCTGCCAAAGGGAATGGAGGGCTGCTCCAGTGCCCTGTCCCCGCTCGGCTTCTCGCCTAAGCCACTGCAGACATGTGGCTGCACTTCCAGAATCCAAAGTGAAGGTCTATTTACTTACAAATTGGTTCTATCTATTCAGGTTAAACTAACCTCTAAAGATTGAATCAATTCAGGCTTGGGCTTTTTGAATGTCTGTACTTAGCCTAAAAGTTGCCTTAACTGTCTTGTAAGAATCTCACACTTCCTCCAAATACTTCATTATCACTAACATCCATCACTGACACAGTGGATGTAAAAGAAATGTATCAGCAAATAAAGAGTGATTTACAGCCTAGTCCTATGCTACTGCATTATCAAACTGAAACTGGAAGAGATATAGTGGAGAACAATGAAGCCGACACAGAGTAAGTCTCAAACTCATACTGTATTGACAAGGAGAATTTTAGTTGCTAGGGCTGTGCCAAATAGTCACCATCAAATTCCAACACTGTAAAATCTAAGGATTTCAGAAAATCCATTTGTTTTCAGATAAAAATGTCAATTCTTGCAATTTAGTTCCAATGAAGATCAACGTCCACACACAATGTTCTGATATATCATGTTCTGAAGTGAAAACTGCTATTTATGGGAAATGAAATGAAAATAGAGAATTTTTTTCCTGAAATCTCATGAGGAAGAACTTATTTTTGCTTAGCCCTGGTGCTACATCTCTGTTGTCACTGTATTATTTGTTAACCCATTTATACACACAGAGCTTGTTACAATTTGATTTTCAGAAAGTTTTTCTTTTGAAAATGTGGTTGCACTGCCAACAAACTACTGATCCTCGTAAAAGTGTGTAATCATTTGAGACCTTAGGAATGACAGTTCAGCTGTATCCAGATGTGCAGTGGCACAAATAGTAGTGGCACAAATTTGTGCCGCTTTGTAACTCAGCATACTCCCCTGCACATGCACTTTGTTGCAGGACACTGTGTCCCACTTGGGGCAAACTGAACCTTGTCCAGCTCCTCCCAAAGCAGGATATGAATGGAGGAGTGGAGATGCTTTGGCCAGAAGCCAGAGCATTTCCCTGGAGGACCATGCCTCCATTTGTTCCAGAGCATGCTATTGTAACATACGCCGTACTGGGTTTTTTTCTGTTTTTGTTTTATTTTTTGCTGCCAGGAAATCCTGGTAACAAATTTTGACCCCATGCTGCAAATTTGCAGTGTGAGGCACACTTTAATGTTCCATGTGTGCAGTTTGTGTAGCTAAACTACATGTGGGCTCATGGCCTTTGTGCTCAAAAGCTTGTCTAACATTTCTCCCAAATATAGAGCTGGTCCAATAAAGAGATATCACTAAAAAATTCCTTACCTTTCATTTATTTCCTAGACTATCCAGGAAATAACAACACTTCAACACTATTACATCATTAGAAGTAATAGTAAGTAAAAGACTTCCAGGGGTAGTCTTTCCATGAAAGTCTTAAAAGAAGGGTAAGCATTATCCCACAAAGTTGCTGGTTTAGGCATCAAAGTACTGAATGATCAGTGAGTGCCCACGAACACTGTAGCTGTGCCATCACCATCACTATACTCTGCCTGGGCAGGAGGAGTTTGCTTTGCTGGTGTATTATCTAAGAAGACTGTAGGATGACTAAAGTGGTCTAGAAGTCTTAGCCCAAGTTCTCTTTTGATCCTTCTTTCCTATCAATCCCATTGAGGCAAATGATTTTTACTCTATATTCTCTTCTATGCATTTAATCCTGCCTTCTCAACATCTTACATATACCAATTCACTTCATCCACTGAAGACACTTCACATCTACCAGCTCTTGATTGGCAGTCTAATAGTAATAGCAAGCAAATTTCACAAAAGCCAAGATGTTTATCTATACTAGGGGTGTCAAACTCATCTGGCTCTGTGGGCCAGGTGAACAGTATAGGGCTGGTCCATGGGAAGGATAAACGGCATGTGGCCAGCTCCATGTGACAGATTGGGCTCATGGACCTAGTCCCTCCTGCCCCCACCCCTGTACATTGGATCCAGTGCAGGCAGTGCTTTCTCTAGCCAGTCCAGGACACACATCACACCCACTCCAGCCTGGCAATGACCCATGCTATGCATGGCACCAACCCTGGAGCCAGGGACATGCAGCACCAGGGGCTAGATGATAGGGATTCACAGGCCAGATCTGGCCTATAAGTCATGTCTCTGACACTTGTGGTCTACACTGAGATGACTACAGTGTACTATACTTATAATTGAGCTAGTTTTAATATAGCTGGCTTGAGAACTGGTAACACTCTAACCAATGCAACATGGAACTCACTGGGCATGCCTACTCATGCCATTAATGTGCACCAATAAACTCTGGAGTTTATTGCTCCTGGGAAGTTCCTGGGCACACTATTTTACATGTGACCCTGGACCACAACACATTGAGATGGGTTGGAGCAACCCTAGCTGGCAGGGGGTTGAGGAGGGTCAGCCTGCCAGCCTGGGGCTGCTCCAACCAGGCTCAATGTGCTGTGGAGGGGCTGGCTGGAGCATGAGTGTACTTCAGTGTTGAGCTAGCTGGCAGGTAGCCCCCACATTGAAGCCAGCCAGGTCAGTGTCTACATGCTGTGCATGAGAAAACTCTGCAGCAGGGTAGTACTTGTATTTATAGGGTAGTATTTACAAGTACTACCCTGCTGTGGAGTTTATTGGTCTCCTGTGTCCCAATAAGGGTGCACGTATAGACAGCGAGACATTTACTGCAGAGCTAATTAGTCAGCTCTGCAAGAAACATCTTGTGTAGATGTGCTGACTGAAGCTGAATTTACTCTGCTTTTTTTGCTTGTTGTGACTGTTGTGTAGACATGCCCTGTGTCATTATTAGTTTACTGACTGTTCTAGCTAAAAACTTTTGTCTAAAAAGCTACCCAGGTGAATTAAAAGATAGAGGATGTTTCTGTGTTATTTGACATTTGTGCTGCTATGATTAGCTAACACATACAACTTCCAGTGGGCTAGCTAAGCTCCTGGCTCGATTTTTGTGTTTTGCCCCTTATTCTCCCTCCCCCTGCTCCCCATCCCCCCCAAAAAAATCTGATGTGTGTCTGCAGAGCAGTCTTGCGATTGGAAAAAAAATCAAGCATTAAACAATGTATTTATTATCAAAATCCTATCTGAAGAAAACACTGTAGCATGATGCATCTGGCAATTGCAGAAGATAAGAAATCTTTTAGGGAAGAGATTTCTCTCAGAATTAGGGGCCTCCACTATGCTAGCTGTTACAAACTCCAATACAACACAGGGATGTTTGATATGATTTGCAAACCTGTCATAGTTTCCCACTTCATAGCTAAGAATTGTTCTCTGTAAACAATCTCCCTGTCTCAAGGAAAGTCTCTCTTTTTTGTATCCAATGGAAAGACAAAGGCTTATTCTCTTATTACTGCAAGTTATTTCTATAACTGTAAAAATCATCTCTCATTCTCTTACAATATGTCTGTCAAAACAGGCATGGCTGCACGTACCTTATAATGTGATTCTGTCTCCTCTTCCTGAGTAGAACTGGAGGGAGAAGGTGTAGCAGATTTACTTCCTGGGGGTGATGGGGAACCATGGGTAACACCACTCCGCATACCCATCTGAGAAATCAGCTGTGACTGGCTGAGGGCAGTCATGGGACCGGTTAACATCCCTGGTCGACTGATCAGGGGAACTTGACGGTTGGAATCATAGGAAGTGGCATCCGAATGGACCATCTCCTGGATCTGAGTTAGGAGAATATTACTTTTTAATTAAAATGTATTTATATATTATAAATGTATTATAAAATTACTTTCTGTTGAATTTGATTGTTTGCTTTAGAAATTCGATGTAGAACTGGTTGAGAAAAATCTTTCCTGCTCTTTTCCAAAACAAGAGAAGAAAGCAAATTGCCCAATGTTAACTCAGTGTTTCTACTTCCTGGAATTTTCTTTCCCTCTGTGAAGGGGTCTAAGGGTAAAAATAGACCCCACATTTCTTCCAGGACAAAGCCTTTTATTACAAAATTCTATAGATATACAGGCCCATTGTCTCATTTAAGTACCTGTGAAATATATCTGAGATAACAGTTTTTCCCTGCACATTTGAAGGTAATTTGAGGGGGGTATATTTTTAATTTTTCCTTAGTACCCAAGATCCACAAAACTGGCAACCCAGGATGCCCCATTATCTCTGGCACTGGCACCATCATTGAGGGAGTTTCTGGCTATCCTATTCCTGCCTCTGTCCTATTCTTATACACCACTTGGGGCATGAGCTATTTGAAAGACACCCCATATTTCTTAAAGAAACTGGGCTCCATTGACAAGCTTCCAGCAAACACTATATTAGCTGCTATGGATGCCATGTCTCTGTTAACCACCATCCCCCATGAGGATGGACTAAAAGCCATAAAGAACCTGATCCGTGATGAGGACACTGCTTTTGTTTCCATTATACTCTCCTGATTTGTCCTCACACACAACTATTTCAGGTTGGGGACTCCCTATACCTATAAATAAAAGGCATTGCCTCAGGCATGCCTATGCCCCACAATAAGCCAATATATTTATGGCAGACCTTAAAGTCTGTTTCCTTCATGGCTGCCCACTCATCCCTCTGGTATACATTAGGTACATCAATAGCTTCTTCATAATATGGACACATCAGAAGGTATCTCTAGAGCAATTTCACTAGGACTTTAATACTTTCCACCCCTCTATCAAACTACTTCTGGAATACTTCACAAAGCAGATTCATTTCCTAGACACTACAGTAAAGTCTGCAGTGGTTGCATGATCACCACATTGTATAAGAAACCAACCAGCTGCCACAGCTACCTTCATGCCACCAGCTTTCACTATAAAGCACACCACTAGATCCATTATCTATAGCCAAGTTCTTTGTTACAGTTGTATCTGCTCTGATCCCACCAACTGGGATGCACACCGTAATGCTCTGGAGAAGGGATTCCTACAATTACAATAAAATCCCAAATTTATAGTGACTCAAATCAACAAAGCCAGAGCCAGACCTCATTCTGACCTGCTACAATACTAACCCTAGGACAAGGACAAAATAATCCCTCTGGTTGTCATTTGTAGCCCCCAGCTTGAACACTTTAGATACAAAGGGTGCTTGCACATGTACAAAAAAACAAACAAACAAAAACCAGTGCTTTACTTTAAACTTGACACCCATGCTGAGCCCTGCCCATGCCCAAAAATGGTAGTGCGTTACTTCAACCCAGCTCACTGGATTTTGGTAAGGGTCCAGTGCATTAGGGAGGATTTTTGGTGCTTTTATCTAATAGCTCATTGAATCAGCTTTAGCTAAAAGCTCCAAAAAGCCCCGCTGAAGCATGCAATCTTTATAGACATTGCAGAGCCAGGCTGAAGTAACACCCTGCTTCTTTTGGTAAAGCACATGTGTTTGGGTTTTTTCTAACTTCTGCAAGCAGCCATAATTAACCCCTCCTGGAAAGGGATGACTGTCTCAAGGTAGTCATGGGGGACAAATCTGTCTTGGCTTACAGACAGCCCGCCCCCCCCCCCCCCCTCA